CTAAACCACACTGGGACTGATCTAAACCACACTGGGAAAGATCTAAACCACACTGGGAAAGATCTAAACCACACTGGGAAAGATGTCAACCACACTGGGAAAGATCTAAACCACACTGGGACTGATCTAAACCACACTGGGAAAGATCTAAACCACACTGGGAAAGATCTAAACCACACTGGGAAAGATCTAAACCACACTGGGACTGATCTAAACCACACTGGGAAAGATCTAAACCACACTGGGACTGATCTAAACCACACTGGGACTGATCTAAACCACACTGGGAAAGATCTAAACCACACTGGGAAAGATCTAAACCACACTGGGAAAGATCTAAACCACACTGGGACTGATCTAAACCACACTGGGAAAGATCTAAACCACACTGGGACTGATCTAAACCACACTGGGACTGATCTAAACAACACTGGGACTGATCTAAACCACACTGGGACTGATCTAAACAACACTGGGACTGATCTAAACCACACTGGGACTGATCTAAACCACACTGGGACTGATCTGAACCACACTGGGACTGATCTAAACCACACTGGGAAAGATCTAAACCACACTGGGAAAGATCTAAACCACACTGGGACAGATCTAAACCACACTGGGAAAGATCTAAACCACACTGGGACTGATCTGAACCACACTGGGACTGATCTAAACCACACTGGGAAAGATCTAAACCACACTGGGACTGATCTAAACAACACTGGGACTGATCTAAACCACACTGGGACTGATCTAAACCACACTGGGACTGATCTGAACCACACTGGGACAGATCTAAACCACACTGGGACTGATCTAAACCACACTGGGAAAGATCTAAACCACACTGGGAAAGATCTAAACCACACTGGGACTGATCTAAACCACACTGGGACTGATCTAAACCACACTGGGAAAGATCTAAACCACACTGGGAAAGATCTAAACCACACTGGGACTGATCTAAACCACACTGGGAAAGATCTAAACCACACTGGGACTGATCTAAACCACACTGGGACTGATCTAAACAACACTGGGACTGATCTAAACCACACTGGGACTGATCTGAACCACACTGGGACAGATCTAAACCACACTGGGAAAGATCTAAACCACACTGGGACTGATCTGAACCACACTGGGACTGATCTAAACCACACTGGGAAAGATCTAAACCACACTGGGACTGATCTAAACAACACTGGGACTGATCTAAACCACACTGGGACTGATCTAAACCACACTGGGACTGATCTGAACCACACTGGGACAGATCTAAACCACACTGGGACTGATCTGAACCACACTGGGACTGATCTAAACCACACTGGGACAGATCTAAACCACACTGGGAAAGATCTAAACCACACTGGGACTGATCTAAACAACACTGGGACTGATCTAAACCACACTGGGACAGATCTAAACCACACTGGGAAAGATCTAAACCACACTGGGACTGATCTGAACCACACTGGGACTGATCTGAACCACACTGGGAAAGATCTAAACCACACTGGGACTGATCTAAACCACACTGGGACTGATCTGAACCACACTGGGACTGATCTGAACCACACTGGGACTGATCTGAACCACACTGGGACTGATCTGAACCACACTGGGACTGATCTAAACCACACTGGGACAGGTCTAAACCACACTGGGACTGATCTAAACCACACTGGGACTGATCTAAACCACACTAGGACTGATCTAAACGACACTGGGACTGATCTAAACCACACTGGGACAGATCTGACTTGATTTCTGAAAACAATAAAATAAAACTGGTCCCAAACGACTTGATTCTAGTTTAGTATTTTTTACTTATGTCTCAAACTCAGACCTCCTCACTCCCTCAGGACTAAACACTGAACCTTGGGGGCCCGAGCCTTCACTCTCTGGAACTCTCTCCCACAACCATCAGAAACTCAGACTCACTACAGAAATCTCTGTGTCTCTACTGCTCCCAGGGGCCCCTCCTCTCTCTGCTCCCAGGGGTCCCTCCTGTCTCTACTCCTGGGGGTCCCTCCTCTCTCTACTCCTGGGGGCCCCTCCTCTCTCTGCTCCCAGGGGCCCCTCCTCTCTCTGCTCCCAGGGGTCCCTCCTCTCTCTACTCCTGGGGGTCCCTCCTCTCTCTACTCCTGGGGGCCCCTCCTCTCTCTGCTCCCAGGGGCCCCTCCTCTCTCTGCTCCCAGGGGTCCCTCCTCTCTCTACTCCTGGGGGCCCCTCCTCTCTCTGCTCCCGGGGGCCCCTCATAGCACTCAGCCTTGTCTCTTAAGGCGAATGATAAATGTGTGGCTTTGATACGACTCCAGATGAAACTCCCGAAAGATCAAAGAGAGAAGTGACGCCCAGACTGACCATCAGGGGCCTCCCTATCTGGGCCTCTCCATCAGGGCCTCTCCATCAGGGCCTCTACATCAGGGCCTCTCCATCAGGGCCTCTACATCAGGGCCTCTACATCAGGGCCTCTCCATCAGGGCCTCCCTATCTGGGCCTCTACATCAGGGCCTCTCCATCAGGGCCTCTACATCAGGGCCTCTCCATCAGGGCCTCTACATCAGGGCCTCTCCATCAGGGCCTCTACATCAGGGCCTCTACATCAGGGCCTCTACATCAGGGCCTCTACATCAGGGCCTCTACATCAGGGGCCTCTACATCAGGGCCTCTATATCAGGGGCCTCGCCATCAGGGGCTTCTACATCAGGGCCTCTCCATCAGAGCCTCTACATCAGGGGCCGCTACATCAGGGCCTCTCCATCAGGGCCTCTACATCAGGGCCTCTCCATCAGGGCCTCTACATCAGGGCCTCTACATCAGGGCCTCTCCATCAGGGCCTCTCCATCAGGGCCTCTCCATCAGGGGCCTCTACATCAGGGGCCTCTACATCAGGGCCTCTATATCAGGGGCCTCTCCATCAGGGGCCTCTACATCAGGGCCTCTCCATCAGAGCCTCTACATCAGGGGCCTCTACATCAGGGCCTCTATATCAGGGGCCTCTCCATCAGGGGCCTCTACATCAGGGCCTCTCCATCAGAGCCTCTACATCAGGGCCTCTACATCAGGGCCTCTCCCATCAGGGCCTCTACATCAGGGCCTCTACATCAGGGCCTCTACATCAGGGCCTCTACATCAGGGGCCTCTACATCAGGGCCTCTATATCAGGGGCCTCTCCATCAGGGGCCTCTAAATCAGGGCCTCTCCATCAGAGCCTCTACATCAGGGGCCTCTACATCAGGGCCTCTCCATCAGGGCCTCTACATCAGGGCCTCTCCATCAGGGCCTCTACATCAGGGCCTCTACATCAGGGCCTCTCCATCAGGGCCTCTCCATCAGGGGCCTCTACATCAGGGCCTCTATATCAGGGGCCTCTCCATCAGGGGCCTCTACATCAGGGCCTCTCCATCAGAGCCTCTACATCAGGGCCTCTACATCAGGGCCTCCCTATCTGGGCCTCTCCATCAGGGCCTCTACATCAGGGCCTCTCCATCAGGGCCTCTACATCAGGGCCTCTCCATCAGGGCCTCTACATCAGGGCCTCTCCATCAGGGCCTCTACTTCAGGGCCTCTACATCAGGGCCTCTACATCAGGGCCTCTACATCAGGGCCTCTCCATCAGGGCCTCTCCATCAGGGCCTCTACATCAGGGGCCTCCCTATCTGGGCATCTACATCAGAGCCTCTACATCAGGGGCCTCTACATCAGGGCCTCTCCATCAGGGCCTCTACATCAGGGCCTCTACATCAGGGCCTCTCCATCAGGGCCTCCCTATCTGGGCCTCTACATCAGGGCCCTCTCCATCAGGGCCTCTACATCAGGGCCTCTCCATCAGGGCCTCTACATCAGGGCCTCTCCATCAGGGCCTCTACATCAGGGCCTCTACATCAGGGCCTCTACATCAGGGCCTCTACATCAGGGCCTCTACATCAGGGGCCTCTTCATCAGGGCCTCTATATCAGGGGCCTCGCCATCAGGGGCTTCTACATCAGGGCCTCTCCATCAGAGCCTCTACATCAGGGGCCTCTACATCAGGGCCTCTCCATCAGGGCCTCTACATCAGGGCCTCTCCATCAGGGCCTCTACATCAGGGCCTCTACATCAGGGCCTCTCCATCAGGGCCTCTCCATCAGGGCCTCTCCATCAGGGGCCTCTACATCAGGGGCCTCTACATCAGGGCCTCTATATCAGGGGCCTCTCCATGAGGGGCCTCTACATCAGGGCCTCTCCATCAGAGCCTCTACATCAGGGGCCTCTACATCAGGGCCTCTACATCAGGGCCTCCCTATCTGGGCCTCTCCATCAGGGCCTCTACATCCGGGCCTCTCCATCAGGGCCTCTACATCAGGGGCCTCTCCATCAGGGCCTCTACATCAGGGCCTCTCAATCAGGGCCTCTACATCAGGGCCTCCCCATCAGGGCCTCTACTTCAGGGCCTCTCCATCAGGGCCTCTCCATCAGGGCCTCTACATCAGGGCCTCTACATCAGGGCCTCTCCATCAGGGCCTCTCCATCAGGGCTTCTACATCAGGGGCCTCCCTATCTGGGCATCTACATCAGAGCTTCTACATCAGGGGCCTCTACATCAGGGCCTCTCCATCAGGGCCTCTACATCAGGGCCTCTCCATCAGGGCCTCTACATCAGGGCCTCTACATCAGGGCCTCTCCATCAGGGCCTCTACATCAGGGGCCTCCCTATCTGGGCATCTACATCAGGGCCTCTCCATCAGGGCCTCTACATCAGGGCCTCTACATCAGGGCCTCTCCATCAGGGGCCTCCCTATCTGGGCATCTACATCAGGGCCTCTCCATCAGGGCATCTACATCAGGGCCTCTCCTTCAGGGGCCTCCCTATCTGGGCATCTACATCAGGGCCTCTCCATCAGGGCCTCTCCATCAGGGCCTCTCCATCAGGGCCTCTCCATCAGGGCCTCTACTTCAGGGCCTCTCCATCAGGGCCTCTCCATCAGGGCCTCTCCATCAGGGCCTCTACATCAGGGGCCTCTACATCAGGAGCCTCTCCATCAGGGCCTCTACATCAGGGGCCTCTACATCAGGGCCTCTCCATCAGGGCCTCTCCATCAGGGCCTCTACATCAGGGGCCTCTACATCAGGAGCCTCTCCATCAGGGCCTCTACATCAGGGCCTCTATATCAGGGGCCTCTACATCAGGGGCCAATTTGAATTTCTAAATTACTTTTCCAGCCTCTAAATCTTGTTATTGTTTTCATTTCGATGTCCTGCCCTCCACCGTTTCACCAATCAGAAAGTCTGTGATCCGGGCGCCAGAACTCACCGCGTGGAGCTAATCTCACTGGTAAAGTACCATGTGGAGCTAATCTCACTGGTAAAGTACCATGTGGAGCTAATCTCACTGGTAAAGTACCATGTGGAGCTAATCTCACTGGTAAAGTACCGTGTGGAGCTAATATCACTGGTAAAGTACCATGTGGAGCTAATCTCACTGGTAAAGTACCATGTGGAGCTAATCTCACTGGTAAAGTACCATGTGGCCGAGCTAATCTCACTGGTAAAGTACCATGTGGCCGAGCTAATCTCACTGGTAAAGTACCATGTGGCGCAGAACTAAAAAAGGTCTCGTTATGATTCTCAAATCATTAACGACAAAACAAGGAATAAAACCAGGATTTCTATCTTTGTGAAAAAGGTGTTGGTTATAGATTTGTTGTTGACAAAACTCTTGTCTATTCAGCTGTTATGGTCCCAGCTGGATTCGTCTGCATATCTGGCAACCTGAGTCAGGGAGAGTGGGAGAGGCTGCAGTACCACTTCTGGCCACACGTTTACAGACTGCTCCTTTAATATACAGCAGACTATAGTTGTACAGTGTGTTCTTAGGCTCTGACTCGTTACAGACGGCTTCTAAAGTGAGTTTATTTAATAAAGCTGAAATCATAGCGAGCCGAGCGTTAATCAAAGGCGGTCTCTGAGTGTAATGAAACGCCACGCTCCACGGCCCAATCATTTTAATGAAACCTTATCAAATATCAAAAGGAGATGTGTGTGTGCGATACGCCTGCTGTATACTGCTGTATACTGCTGTATTACTGCTGTATACTGCTGTATACTGCTGTATACTGCTGTATGACTGTTGTATTACTGCTGTATACTGCTGTATTACTGCTGTATACTGCTGTATACTGCTGTATACTGCTGTATGACTGTTGTATTACTGCTGTATACTGCTGTATACTGCTGTATGACTGCTGTATACTGCTGTATGACTGCTGTATACTGCTGTATACTGCTGTATACTGCTGTATGACTGCTGTATTACTGCTGTATACTGCTGTATTACTGCTGTTTACTGCTGTATACTGCTGTATGACTGCTGTATACTGCTGTATGCTGTATACTGCTGTATACTGCTGTATACTGCTGTATGACTGCTGTATGACTGCTGTATACTGCTGTATTACTGCTGTATACTGCTGTATACTGCTGTATGACTGCTGTATACTGCTGTATGCTGTATACTGCTGTATACTGCTATATACTGCTGTATGACTGCTGTATTACTGCTGTATTACTGCTGTATACTGCTGTATACTGCTATATACTGCTGTATGACTGCTGTATTACTGCTGTATACTGCTGTGTTACTGCTGTATACTGCTGTATGACTGCTGTATTACTGCTGTATACTGCTGTGTTACTGCTGTATACTGCTGTATACTGCTGTATGACTGCTGTATACTGCTGTATACTGCTGTATACTGCTGTATGACTGCTGTATTACTGCTGTATACTGCTGTATTACTGCTGTTTACTGCTGTATACTGCTGTATGACTGCTGTATACTGCTGTATGCTGTATACTGCTGTATACTGCTGTATGACTGCTGTATTACTGCTGTATACTGCTATATTACTGCTGTATACTCCTGTATACTGCTGTATGACTGCTGTATACTGCTGTATGCTGTATACTGCTGTATACTGCTGTATGCTGTATACTGCTGTATACTGCTATATACTGCTGTATGACTGCTGTATACTGCTGTATTACTGCTGTATGCTGTATACTCCTGTATACTGCTGTATGACTGCTGTATACTGCTGTATGCTGTATACTGCTGTATACTGCTGTATGCTGTATACTGCTGTATACTGCTATATACTGGTGTATGACTGCTGTATACTGCTGTATTACTGCTGTATACTGCTGTATACTGCTATATACTGCTGTATTACTGCTGTATTACTGCTGTATTACTGCTGTATACTGCTGTGTTACTGCGCAGGGAGCAGGAGCGTTATGGGTTCACATTAACAACAGTGAAGACAGAGGGACTTTAGAGACCTGCCGCACGCTGAGCACAGGTACAGGAAGTAGAAACATGTGATGGATGCACAAGGCGATCCAAACACACTGGGGATAAACTGATACTGTAGCCACAGCTGCCCTGGGGCACACTGACAGAAGCGAGGCAACCAGTCGGGACAGACCCGCCCACACAGGGATAGACCCGCCCACACTGGGATAGACCTGCCCACACTGGGATAGACCTGCCCACACTGGGACAGACCCGCCCACACTGGGACAGACCCGCCCACACTGGGATAGACCCGCCCACACTGGGACAGACCCGCCCACACTGGGACAGACCCGCCCACACTGGGATAGACCCGCCCACACTGGGATAGACCTGCCCACACTGGGACAGACCCGCCCACACTGGGACAGACCCGCCCACACTGGGATAGACCCGCCCACACTGGGACAGACCCGCCCACACTGGGACAGACCCGCCCACACTGGGACAGACCCGCCCACACTGGGATAGACCCGCCCACACTGGGATAGACCTGCCCACACTGGGACAGACCCGCCCACACTGGGATAGACCCGCCCACACTGGGATAGACCTGCCCACACTGGGATAGACCCGCCCACACTGGGACAGACCCGCCCACACTGGGATGGACCCGCCCACACTGGGATAGACCCGCCCACACTGGGATAGACCTGCCCACACTGGGACAGACCCGCCCACACTGGGATAGACCCGCCCACACAGGGATAGACCCGCCCACACTGGGATAGACCCGCCCACACTGGGACAGACCCGCCCACACTGGGACAGACCCGCCCACACTGGGATAGACCCGCCCACACTGGGATAGACCTGCCCACACTGGGATAGACCCGCCCACACTGGGATAAACCTGCCCACACTGGGATAGACCCGCCCACACTGGGACAGACCCGCCCACACAGGGATAGACCCGCCTTACCTGTTAGCTCAAAGAAGGTCGATAGGGAAGTGCTCATAGACAGAGTTTTGCTCCAACTCTATGTGCTGTACAGTAATATTCCACATAAAAGACCACACCATAGGACGAACACACAAAAACAGTAGGACATGTTTTACTTTAGCTCAGGAAGTGACAGGATGAAGGAGCCTTTGTTATTATTTGCAATGTGTTTATTACATTTGTGCATAGTTCTGACTTTGTGATGACTCTACAGTTTCATCTCATTGGGCTCTTACAGAGAACATGTTAAAGTAGCACAGATTAAGTTACAAACCTTCTTTGGGTGTTGGCATCATTTAAATAAAAAACAGACTGGTTTGAGGTAATCGGCTGGAAGGGCCCGGGGGCCGCACAGACGTGGGAATAGGGCCGGTCATGTCCCTCGGGCCACAGCTTACTGTACCTGCGCTAACCCCAGAGAATGCTCTTGGAGTGGACGTCCTAATTCTGAAAACCGTCGATGAATCAGTTCAAGTCCATAAACAAAGTCTGTATTTAATGGAAAAATTGGAGGAAAAGAGATAAATCTAACGTCCCGCTCCCTCTGCTTCGATCCCAGACTGTATTTACATTTATAACCCTCTCCAGATACTGTGTTACTTATTTAAACTTCCTCATCGGATGTTTCTGATTTAAACAGGCCCCGCTCTGAAAATCCTCATCATTAACTTTTCAGGAAAAGGCAATAATTCCCTGAGCACTTCTACAAATACATGTGGGCAATTAGCATGAAGTGGATCTCCCACGGACGCTATCAATACACGAGTGGATATTTAGAATATATATATATATAATATACATATATATATAAATATGCAGATTTATACACGAGCTCATAGTTGGAAGATGCAGATTTATGTCTTAAGTCGAGCGGCTGCACTTTGAAGAAGCAGAGTCTGCTGTCGATCCCAGGAGGGAAGTTAGCGGAGGCTTTGAAGTTACACACACACAAATATAGACACACACAAATACACACAAATATAGACACACACAAATACAGACACACACACACACACACACACACACACATACAAACACTACTGCAGAGTCAATATAAACACCTCCTACAAGCAGCGAGCCAAAACCAGAGTTGGCTTTTCTGTTCTCTCTGACTCTGACAAGGGCCTGACTCTCACCACATCCACCACCAGAGGCTCCACCAGAGGCTCCACCAGAGGCTCCACCAGAGGCTCCACCAGAGACTCCACCAGAGGCTCCATCAGAGACTCCACCAGAGGCTCCACCAGAGGCTCCCTCAGAGGCTCCATCAGAGGCTCCATCAGAGGCTCCATCAGAGACTCCACCAGAGGCTCCACCAGAGGCTCCACCAGAGGCTCCCTCAGAGGCTCCATCAGAGGCTCCATCAGAGGCTCCATCAGAGACTCCACCAGAGGCTCCACCAGAGGCTCCCTCAGAGGCTCCACCAGAGGCTCCACCAGAGACTCCCTCAGAGGCTCCACCAGAGGCTCCACCAGAGGCTCCCTCAGAGGCTCCACCAGAGGCTCCATCAGAGGCTCCACCAGAGGCTCCCTCAGAGGCTCCACCAGAGGCTCCATCAGAGGCTCCCTCAGAGGCTCCACCAGAGGCTCCACCAGAGGCTCCAACAGAGGCTCCACCAGAGGCTCCACCAGAGGCTCCACCAGAGGCTCCATCAGAGGCTCCACCAGAGGCTGAACACACGGGTCTGTGTAACGTCGGGTTTGCACCATCTTCTCGTCCGGCCTCACGCTGCAGCCAGAGCAATCCAAGATGGCGCACACGAAGTCCGTGAATTATTTTAAAAAGTTTGAATACGAACAAATTAAGACACGGATGTCACTTTTAAGGCAATGTGAGGCGAGATGTTGATGGTTCCATGTTTTATCTGTGCTTTAAGAGTCAAATGTTGGTGTAAAGTGTGGTTTAAGCAGTAGTTTAAGTGTTTCTATGACAACACTATGCTTGGTTCCAAGAGACTTGTAGGTAATAAATAAACAGAAAGACAATGAACAGAATCATGATAGCCCAAGTTGATTAAATTCAGTTATTAGGCAAAAATAATTCTGGGTGTTTTTTTTGTTTTTCGGGCATTCTCACGAGTTTTGGGCTGGAAAGTCTTGCCGGCATTTGGCAACCTATGGGAGTCGTGCTGAATCGTGTGCTCTGATGTGGTTGAAGAAACACGTCATTAAAGATAACAGACAAGTGGTTTATCCAATCACATACAAGGATTTTTTTACAAGCCCCCGCCTTCACCAATCCTTTCTGTTGGACACTAACTGTCCAACAAGACCCTCCTGCATCCACAAGGAACAACTCTTAAAAAACCCAGTGGGAAAAAGTGAGAAACCTTGGGGAGAACTAGGGAAACCCACAGGGAGGGAGACCCATTTGAGAAAGGGATCCGCTCCTCCGGACGGACAGGCTAATGATCCAGGACCTAAGCTAGCTACAGAACGTGGACCAGTGGACGCTGAACGTGGACAGGTCCGGTGCAGGACTGAAGCACTCCCAGGCGGGTCGGGCGGGGCAGTCCGCAGGTGTAGATGGAGGAGGCCAGGCTCAGAGATCCCGTCATCGTACCATGAAACAGACAATGGGACAACGGGTGAATAGCAATGAACAAACTACAGTCAAAATCCTAATAATGCTAAACAGATAAAGTAGGAAGGAGGAGAGGATAGTGCTCAAGTTACCATACTTCTCCAGCAGTGGGCGCCCTATGCAGCTTGACTGACAGTCAGAGGAGTTTAGCCTTCCCAGAGTCTTACCTTCCTAGCCATATGCTAAACTAAAGAGGACTGTTTTAGTCTAGCCTTGAGCGTAGGGTCGAAGATGCAGCGGACCGGGTCCCACATACGCAGACTCCAAGACCGCACGAAACCTGACCGGACAACAACTTAACCAAATGCTAAGTTGAAGAAGAGTGTTTTAAGCCTGGCCTTAAACGTAGAGATTGTGTCTGCTTCCTTAATGTGCGTGGGGAGCTGATTCCACAGTAGAGGAGCTTGGAGCTAAATGCTCTGCCACCGACAGAGGTTGCCAGGTCAATATCAGAGGTTGCCAGGTCAGTATCAGAGGTTGCCAGGTCAGTATCAGAGGTTGCCAGGTCAGAGTCAGAAAGGCCTCAGAGCAGGACACCTGCTGTGTGAGACTCTATCCTGTGTGTTATTTATTCAGCAGGTCCATGAAAGAGTCATCAGTGAAAGAGTCATCAGTGAAAGAGTCATCAGTGAAAGAGTCATCAGTGAAAGAGTCATCAGTGAAAGAGTCATCAGTGAAAGAGTCATCAGTGAAAGAGTCATCAGTGAAAGAGTCATCAGTGAAAGAGTCATCAGTGAAAGAGTCATCAGTGAAAGAGTCATCAGTGAAAGAGTCATCAGTGAAAGAGTCATCAGTGAAAGAGTCATCAGTGAAAGAGTCATCAGTGAAAGTCATCAGTGAAAGAGTCATCAGTGAAAGAGTCATCAGTGAAAGAGTCATCAGTGAAAGAGTCATCAGGGCCCAGTCTGAAAACACCTGAGGCCTCCCTGCAGCGACTGAATGAACACATGAACATACTGCACTGACCGTTGGAACGAGGTTTAAATGTAATTAAAGTGTGTTTCATGTTTAAAGGGGACATACTGTAGCTGCGACTTTAACTCATGTGAACACCATAGATATATTTTTGACTAGTATTGAAGCATTTACAACATTTACAGCTAACTAAAGAACAAACAGCTATAAATCATAGCAGCTACTGTATATATTTGTATATTGTGTGTTCTCCCTGTGTCTCTTACTGCTGTCCTGTCTGTGCGCTGCAACACTGACATTTCCCCACTGTGGGACAAATAAAGGATCTCTCTCTCTCTTATCTGGCTCCCAGAATTATGAAGCTACTCGACCTCCCAGAGTCGGTCTGTTTACTGCTCCTGTTCAAGCCTAACAGTGTTATTTATAGAGCCACTCAAGGTCAGTCCTGGATCTCAGTCCTGGATCTCAGTCCTGCATCTCAGTCCTGGATCTCAGTCCTGGATCTCAGTCCTGCATCTCAGTCCTGGATCTCAGTCCTGGATCTCAGTCCTGGATCTCAGTCCTGCATCTCAGTCCTGGATCTCAGTCCTGGATCTCAGTCCTGGATCTCAGTCCTGCATCTCAGTCCTGGATCTCAGTCCTGCATCTCAGTCCTGGATCTCAGTCCTGGATCTCAGTCCTGGATCTCAGTCCTGCATCTCAGTCCTGGATCTCAGTCCTGTATCTCAGTCCTGCATCTCAGTCCTGGATCTCAGTCCTGCATCTCAGTCCTGGATCTCAGTCCTGGATCTCAGTCCTGTATCTCAGTCCTGGATCTCAGTGATATAATTTCCCAGGATAAAATGTATCTTTCCATCAGAATTTAAAAAAATCATGAAAAAGGTTATTTCCTCGACTCCCTAAAAGCTGAAACTGGTTAATACGACTGGAACACAGCAAAGGCTAGCACAGGCTAACTGCTAGCAAGAAATCAGTCTGTTGCTATGGTAAACAGCATTTGTTCTTCTCTGGCTGAAAATCAAGCTGACTCGGAACCAAAACCAGCCTGGGACCAGTCTCGAACCAGTGTGGGACCAGTCCAGAACCAGTCTGGAACCAGTCTAGGACCAGTCTATAGTCCTTGGTGAACACTTCTGAAAGTAGAAGATTGGAGTTGAAAATACAAGAACAACTCTCTCTCTATATTTCTCTCTGAGGAGCACAGGGACTGGCCTCCTGCTGGGACTCTGAGGAGCACAGGGACTGGCCTCCTGCTGGGACTCTGAGGAGCACAGGGACTGGCCTCCTGCTGGGACTCTGAGGAGCACAGGGACTGGCCTCCTGCTGGGACTCTGAGGAGCACAGGGACTGGCCTCCTGCTGGGACTCTGAGGAGCACAGGGACTGGCCTCCTGCTGAGACTCTGAGGAGCACAGGGACTGGCTCTGAGGAGCACATATGATTAAATGAATTGATGAATGAATCCGTCATTAAAAGGTAAACTATGTGAGTTATAGAAAGTGTTTATAGCTCATAGTTTGACAGAGATACATTTATAAAACGAACCAAAACACTGCAGTTTTTTGTTCTGTTCCAGCGTCTGTCGTCCTCGTTTGTTTCCAAAGCCTCGGCTGCAGCCTCTGAGCCACAATAAGATCAGTCTGATAACGTCCGATAAGAGTCTGAAAAACTAGGCAGCTCGGACCAAACAGAGACGCCATCACCGGGCAGAGCGGGGGGCGGGGGCAGAGCGGGGGGCGGGGGCAGAGCGGGGGCAGAGCGGGGGCAGAGCGGGATGGGGGGGGCAGGCAGAGTGTGAAAAATGAAACCGGCTCCGGCGGCTCGTATCAGGGAACAATGCTGACAAATGAAGGTTTCCATCTGCCGCTCTATCTCTCCCCCGCAGCGGCCGGCTCGCTCGCCCATCACCCTTCAGCCCGTGACCTTGACAGACGCCGCGCCACGTTTTCAGGAAGACGTCCTGTTTGGGCCGATCACAAACGATGATGAGACTATGTCGTGTTTTACAATGTGCAATAATATCAAAGTACAGATAACAGCGCTTTCTCCATTTTGGACTGAACCAGAGACGGTTACCATAGCAACATGTTTGTTTGTTTTGTTTTATATACTACACTTTACGGCAATAACATCATGTCAGATGTAACATTAATGCTAACCCTAATGCTAACCCTAATGCTAACCCTAATGCTAACCCTAACCGCAAGTGTTAGTTAGTAGTTAGTTATGTTGAACAAGGCCATATAGAATAAGGACTAATAAATGCTTAATAAATACCAATTAAGAGCTTATTAACCATAAACTACACACTAATTAGCACTTAGTTCAATTAGATCTTTTCTGGTCATTTCATGTTTAGTCATGTTTTTTCTTTTATGACCCCAGTGGAATTGAACATGTTTGGGTCAACTCTGTGAATGTAAACTCAAACTGACCCAAACCAAACCAAACCAGGCTCAGGTTCCTCCAACTTTCACTCTTCATCAGTCCATGGAGTAGTTGTAGTGTCATGAGTTTAAATCCCAGTCTTCCTCCTCTTCCTCACTCTCTCCTGTCGACACATGTGGCAGTGAAGCAGATGCTAATTGTCGTCTCTGCTGCTAATTGGCACAAACCGCGGTGATGCTAACGGCGTGTGACAGAACCGCCATTTACAACATGACTGCAGCGAAGGCGAGACAGCCCCGGAATGTCCTGAGGTTACACAGGAGGACTCACACCTGAGAAGCACAGGGACACAGGGACGAGAAGCACAGGGACGAGAAGCACAGGGACGAGAAGCACAGGGACGAGAAACACAGGGACGAGAAGCACAGGGATGAGAAGCACAGGGACGAGAGACACAAGGACGAGAAGCACAGGGACGAGAGACACAGGGACGAGAAGCACAGGGACGAGAAGCACAGGGACGAGAAGCACAGGGACGAGAGACACAAGGACGAGAGACACAGGGACGAGAAGCACAGGGACGAGAAGCACAGGGACGAGAGACACAAGGACGAGAGACACAGGGACGAGAAGCACAGGGACGAGAGACACAAGGACGAGAGACACAGGGACGAGAAGCACAGGGACGAGAAGCACAGGGACGAGAGACACAGGGACGAGAAGCAAAGGCACAAGAGACACAGGGACGAGAGACACAAGGACGAGAGACACAGGGACGAGAAGCACAGGGACGAGAAGCACAGGGACGAGAGACACAGGGACGAGAGACACAGGGACGAGAGACACAGGGGCGAGAGACACAGGGACGAGAGACACAGGGACGAGAGACACAGGGACGAGAAGCACAGGGACGAGAAGCACAGGGACGAGAGACACAGGGACGAGAGACACAGGGACGAGAAGCACAGGGACGAGAGACACAGGGGCGAGAGACACAGGGACGAGAGACACAGGGACGAGAAGCACAGGGACGAGAGACACAGGGACGAGAGACACAGGGGCGAGAAGCACAGGGACGAGAGACACAGGGACGAGAAGCACAGGACGAGAAGCACAGGAACGAGAGACACAGGGACGAGAGACACAGGGACGAGAAGCACAGGGACGAGAAGCACAGGGACGAGAGACACAGGGACGAGAAGCACAGGGACGAGAAGCACAGGGACGAGAAGCACAGGGACGAGAAGCACAGGGACGAGAGACACAAGGACGAGAGACACAGGGACGAGAGACACAGGGACGAGAAGCACAGGGACGAGAGACACAAGGACGAGAGACACAGGGACGAGAGACACAGGGACGAGAAGCACAGGGACGAGAAGCACAGGGACGAGAAGCACAGGGACGAGAAGCACAGGGACGAGAGACACAGGGACGAGAAGCACAGGGACGAGAGACACAAGGACGAGAGACACAGGGACGAGAAGCACAGGGACGAGAAGCACAGGGACGAGAGACACAGGGACGAGAAGCAAAGGCACGAGAGACACAGGGACGAGAGACACAAGGACGAGAAGCAAAGGCACGAGAGACACAGGGACGAGAGACACAAGGACGAGAGACACAGGGACGAGAAGCACAGGGACGAGAGACACAGGGACGAGAGACACAGGGGCGAGAGACACAGGGACGAGAGACACAGGGGCGAGAGACACAGGGACGAGAGACACAGGGGCGAGAGACACAGGGACGAGAGACACAGGGGCGAGAAGCACAGGGACGAGAAGCACAGGGACGAGAAGCACAGGGACGAGAAGCACAGGGACGAGAAGCACAGGAACGAGAAGCACAGGGACGAGAGACACAGGGACGAGAAGCACAGGGACGAGAAGCACAGGGACGAGAGACACAGGGACGAGAAGCACAGGGACGAGAAGCACAGGGACGAGAAGCACAGGGACGAGAGACACAGGGGCGAGAGACACAGGGACGAGAGACACAGGGACGAGAAGCACAGGGACGAGAAGCACAGGGACGAGAAGCACAGGGACGAGAAGCACAGGGACGAGAAGCACAGGGACGAGAGACACAGGGACGAGAAGCACAGGGACGAGAGACACAGGGACGAGAGACACAGGGACGAGAAGCACAGGGACGAGAAGCACAGGGACGAGAGACACAGGGACGAGAAGCAAAGGCACGAGAGACACAAGGACGAGAGACACAGGGACGAGAAGCACAGGGACGAGAGACACAGGGACGAGAGACACAGGGACGAGAAGCACAGGAACGAGAGACACAGGGGCGAGAGACACAGGGACGAGAGACACAGGGACAAGAAGCACAGGGACGAGAAGCACAGGAACGAGAGACACAGGGACGAGAGACACAGGGACGAGAGACACAGGGACGAGAAGCACAGGAACGAGAGACACAGGGGCGAGAGACACAGGGACGAGAGACACAGGGACAAGAAGCACAGGGACGAGAAGCACAGGAACGAGAGACACAGGGACGAGAAGCACAGGGACGAGAGACACAGGGGCGAGAGACACAGGGACGAGAAGCACAGGGACGAGAGACACAGGGACGAGAAGCACAGGGACGAGAAGCACAGGGACGAGAGACACAGGGACGAGAAGCACAGGGACGAGAAGCACAGGGACGAGAAACACAGGGACGAGAGACACAGGGACGAGAAGCACAGGGACGAGAAGCACAGGGACGAGAGACACAGGGGCGAGAGACACAGGGACGAGAGACACAGGGACGAGAAGCACAGGGACGAGAAGCACAGGGACTAGAAGCACAGGGACGAGAAGCACAGGGACAAGGGGCGGACAATGGGTTTAGGCTGATTTGGGCCAGAAGTGATGTATTATGACTTAAATCTAAATAATAATAAAAATAATAAAGTATTTTAAGACAGCTCTTAATTATATTGAGTTGATCGACTGCATTTAACAACAAAGATTAAACAATATCATAGAATTAAAAACATAGAATTAATTTACAGGACGTACAGTAACACAAAACATGACACTAATGCAGAACAACAGCAAGACACACACACAAACACACACACACACATACACACACACAGACGACACACACACAAACACACATACACACATACAGACGACACACAGACGACACACACACACAAACACACAGACGACACACACACAAACACACGTACACACACAGACGACACACACACTCACACACACATGGACATACACACACAGAAACACACACATGCATACACACAGACAAGACAAGAGACACACACACACATACATACAGACAAGAAACACACACACAGACATGACAAGGAACACAAACACACACACACACACAACTCTCCCCTTGTCCTGCTGTAATGAGTTGTGTGTTTCAAACCCACTTCTCTGTTATTGAGACGTAACACAATTATAACAAAACAAAACAACTGTAAAACATGACTTTTACTCATAAATCTTAGTTGTGTGTCTTTGTGTAACCGCACAGTCGCCGTGATCCGCCGCCGCTGCACACGTGGTTATAATTACACGCCTCGCTGACGCCGTGTTTACACATATCACCAAATGAAGTCGAGAGAATTTGTCAAAATACTGTAGTTTTTCTGTGACAGCGAAAGAAACACACATTCATCATTTGTATGTTCCACACACAACACACTCAAAACACAGCTGCGCAAAACGACACACGGAGCTGGGTCTGGGAATTAAAACAAGAAATGATAAAATGGGATGAATGGAGTTTGGTTTGAGGAGGATCTGTCGATGCTAATTACAAACTGTTTAACATAATTAAATCTGACTCTGTGTAATTAAGGCTTTCAGCAGAGAGCACACGCCCAGGATGATCAGGAGAGAGCACACGCCCAGGACGATCAGGAGAGAGCACATGAGAGAGATTCACACCATCAGGAAATTATCTCTGGTCTCTCTCTGGTCTCTCTGGTCTCTCTCTGGTCTCAGGTCTCTCTCTGGTCTCTCTCTGGTCTCTCTCTGGTCTCTCTGGTCTCTCTCTGGTCTCAGGTCTCTCTCTGGTCTCTCTCTGGTCTCTCTCTGGTCTCTCTGGTCTCTCTCTGGTCTCAGGTCTCTCTCTGGTCTCTCTGGTCTCTCTCTGGTCTCAGGTCTCTCTCTGGTCTCTCTCTGGTCTCTCTCTGGTCTCTCTCTGGTCTCTCTCTGGTCTCAGGTCTCTCTCTGGTCTCTCTGGTCTCTCTCTGGTGTCTCTGGTCTCTCTGGTCTCTCTCTCTTTTAGCCTCATTCTCAGACAGAAAAGGGAAAGAGAGACCTCCCAAAGCGTCTCATAGTGACTCTAAAAGTGAACAGTGTTTTGGTGTCAGACTAATACTTTTTTGTAGGTTCTGAGAACATACTTTTACAGTTCCAGTTCTAGCGCCAAAGACAGATATCTGACTAACTGATGCTAATCTGCTGCTAGCGTCCCTGCTGTTTTCTTCCTGATTGATGCAAATCTACCTCACACCGAGGTCTTTGAAAGTGTGAGTTTTCGCTGCTCGGCTCTGCCAAGATGGTGTCCTGTTTCCATGGCGACGGAGCGTGCTCAGTGCGTTGTCGGGCGCAGACACAGAGACAGGCTGTTGTTCTGCTTAATGAGCTCCGTGAGAGAGACCTCTGTCTGCTCCGTGACCAAGGAAAGTGTGTGAGGAGGTAAATACTTACAGTAATGATAACGCTCAGTTTCATAAAAGTACTTTTTGGACTTTCAAAGACTCGTGTATTTGTATTTTTTGGTTTATTTGGGACAGTGTGTGTTTTTGACCAGAAGCTTTGTCCTTAAATTCATCTGTCGTCACATTTAACCCTCATGTATTGTACATGTTTTTAGGGGTAGGAGAAACCGGAGCACCTGGAGGAAACCTACGCAGACACAGGGAGAACACATAGAAAGGTCCCCTCACATGAAAGGTTTAACAAAAGCAAATGAGAAAGTGTGCGACTGCCGCAGAGACGTGTGCGACTGTTGCAGAGATGTGTGCGACTGCCGCAGAGACGTGTGCGACTGTTACAGAGACATGTGCGACTGCTGCAGAGACGTGTGCGACTGCCGCAGAGACGTGTGCGACTGCTGCAGAGACGTGTGCGACTGCCGCAGAGACGTGTGCGACTGTTACAGAGACATGTGCGACCGCTGCAGAGACGTGTGCGACTGCCGCAGAGACGTGTGCAACTGCTGCAGAGACGTGTGCGACTGTTGCAGAGACGTGTGCAACTGCCGCAGAGACGTGTGCGACCGCTGCAGAGACGTGTGCGACTGCTGCAGAGACGTGTGCGACTGTTGCAGAGACGTGTGCGACTGCCGCAGAGACGTGTGCGACTGCCGCAGAGAGGTGTGCGACTGTTGCAGAGACGTGTGCGACTGCCGCAGAGACGTGTGCGACTGTTACAGAGACGTGTGCGACTGCCGCAGAGACGTGTGCGACTGTTGCAGAGACGTGTGCGACTGTTACAGAGACGTGTGCGACTGTTGCAAAGACGTGTGCGACTGTTGCAGAGACATGTGCGACTGTTGCAGAGACGTGTGCGACTGCTGCAGAGACGTGTGCGACTGTTGCAGAGACGTGTGCAACTGCCGCAGAGACGTGTGCGACTGTTGCAGAGACGTGTGCGACTGCTGCAGAGACGTGTGCGACTGCTGCAGAGACGTGTGCGACTGCTGCAGAGACGTGTGCGACTGTTACAGAGACGTGTGCGACTGTTGCAGAGACGTGTGCGACTGCTGCAGAGACGTGTGCGACTGTTGCAGAGACGTGTGCGACTGTTGCAGAGACGTGTGCAACTGCCGCAGAGACGTGTGCAACTGTTGCAGAGACGTGTGCAACTGTTACAGAGACGTGTGCGACTGTTGCAGAGACGTGTGCGACTGTTGCAGAGACGTGTGCGACTGTTGCAGAGACATGTGCGACTGCTGCAGAGACGTGTGCGACTGCTGCAGAGACGTGTGCGACTGTTACAGAGACGTGTGCGACTGCTGCAGAGACGTGTGCGACTGTTACAGAGACATGTGCGTGCGACTGCCGCAGAGACGTGTGCGACTGTTGCAGAGACGTGTGCGACTGTTGCAGAGACGTGTGCGACTGTTGCAGAGACGTGTGCGACTGCTGCAGAGACGTGTGCGACTGTTACAGAGACATGTGCGACTGCCGCAGAGACGTGTGCGACTGTTGCAGAGACGTGTGCGACTGTTGCAAAGACGTGTGCGACTGCCGCAGAGACGTGTGCGACTGCTGCAGAGACGTGTGTGACTGCCGCAGAGACGTGTGCGACTGTTGCAGAGACGTGTGCAACTGCCGCAGAGACGTGTGCGACTGTTGCAGAGACGTGTGCGACTGCCGCAGAGACGTGTGCGACTGTTGCAGAGACGTGTGCGACTGTTGCAGAGACGTGTGCGACTGCCGTAGAGACGTGTGCGACTGTTGCAGAGACAGAGACGTGTGCGACTGTTGCAGAGACGTGTGCGACTGTTGCAGAGACAGAGACGTGTGCGACTGCTGCAGAGACGTGTGCGACTGCTGCAGAGACGTGTGCGACTGTTGCAGAGACGTGTGCAACTGCCGCAGAGACGTGTGCGACTGTTGCAGAGACGTGTGCGACTGCCGCAGAGACGTGTGCGACTGTTGCAGAGACGTGTGCGACTGTTGCAGAGACGTGTGCGACTGCCGTAGAGACGTGTGCGACTGCTGCAGAGACAGAGACGTGTGCGACTGTTGCAGAGACAGAGACGTGTGCGACTGCTGCAGAGACGTGTGCGACTGCTGCAGAGACGTGTGCGACTGTTGCAGAGACGTGTGCGACTGCCGCAGAGACGTGTGCGACTGCTGCAGAGACGTGTGCGACTGCTGCAGAGACGTGTGCGACTGCTGCAGAGACGTGTGCGACTGCTGCAGAGAAGTGTGCGACTGCTGCAGAGACGTGTGCGACTGTTGCAGAGAAGTGTGCGACTGCTGCAGAGACGTGTGCGACTGCTGCAGCGACGTGTGCGACTGCTGCAGAGACGTGTTCGACTGCCGCAGAGACGTGTGCGACTGTTGCAGAGAAGTGTGCGTCACAGTGGGCGCAGCAGGAAGACCTAATGTGACGCACAACATCACAATTATTATTTAATACATGGTGAATATAGATCAAATGTAAACAAACTAAATGCTAACTGATGCTAGTAAACAGTGTTGCTATGAAACAAGTTTTGAAATCAAACATTAACACAGTAATGGCACTTCCAGAACAAAGAGCTGCCCTGAGTCCTGCTGTTTAAACATGCTACACGCGTGTGCGTTAACTCTGAAACTGTCCCAGACTCAGGTCCATCAAATATTTCTGCTGCTCAATAATCGATGGAAACCAAACCCCGCAGACGATCCACTGAAGCCACTTCCACCGCAAATAATTATCCCAAAGACACTGGGCCTTTACAAAGAGAGCTTTTACTGGATACAGTTCCCTCTGCGTCTCCTCACTGTCCTGCGGTCTAATGAACTCTGACCCTCGGCCTCAGCCAATCAGAGGAGAGCAGGAGGAGAGCAGGAGGAGAGCGTGAGGAGAGCAGGAGGAGAGCGTGAGGAGAGCAGGAATAGAGCAGGAGGAGAGCAGGAGGAGAGCAGGAGGAGAGCGTGAGGAGAGCAGGAGGAGAGCGTGAGGAGAGCAGGAATAGAGCAGGAGGAGAGCAGGAGGAGAGCAGGAGGAGAGCAGGAGGAGAGCGTGAGGAGAGCAGGAGGAGAGCGTGAGGAGAGCGGGAGGAGAGCAGGAGGAGAGCGTGAGGAGAGCAGGAGGAGAGCAGGAGGAGAGCGTGAGGAGAGCAGGAGGAGAGCAGGAGGAGAGCAGGAGAGCAGGAGGAGAGCAGGATGAGAGCAGGAGGAGAGCGTGAGGAGAGCAGGAGGAGAGCAGGAGGAGAGCAGGAGGAGAGCGTGAGGAGAGCGTGAGGACAGCAGGAGGAGAGCAGGAGGAGAGCAGGAGGAGAGTGTGAGGAGAGCAGGAGGAGACCGTGAGGAGAGCAGGAGGAGAGCAGGAGGAGAGCGTGAGGAGAGCAGGAGGAGAGCAGGAGGAGAGCAGGAGGAGAGCGTGAGGACAGCGTGAGGGGACAGCAGGAGGAGAGCAGGAGGAGAGCAGGAGGAGAGTGTGAGGAGAGCAGGAGGAGACCGTGAGGAGAGCGTGAGGAGAGCAGGAGGAGAGCAGGAGGAGAGCAGGAGGAGAGCGTGAGGAGAGCAGGAGGAGAGCAGGAGGAGAGCAGGAGGAGAGCGTGAGAGAGAGCAGGAGGAGAGGAGGAGGAGAGCAGGAGGAGAGCGTGAGGAGGGCGTGAGGACAGCAGGAGGAGAGCAGGAGGAGAGCAGGAGGAGAGGAGGAGGAGAGCGTGAGGAGAGCAGGAGGAGAGCAGGAGGAGAGCAGGAGGAGAGCGTGAGGAGAGCAGGAGGAGAGCAGTAGGAGAGCAGGAGGAGAGCAGGAGGAGAGCAGGAGGAGAGCAGGAGGAGAGCGTGAGGAGAGCAGGAGGAGAGCGTGAGGAGAGCGTGAGGAGAGCAGGAGGAGAGCAGGAGGAGAGCAGGAGGAGAGCGTGAGGAGAGCAGGAGGAGAGCGTGAGGAGAGCAGGAGGAGAGCAGGAGGAGAGCAGGAGGAGAGCGTGAGGAGAGCAGGAGGAGAGCGTGAGGAGAGCAGGAGGAGAGCGTGAGGAGAGCAGGAGGAGAGCAGGAGGAGAGCGTGAGGAGAGCAGGAGGAGAGCGTGAGGAGAGCGTGAGGAGAGCAGGAGGAGAGCAGGAGGAGAGCAGGAGGAGAGCAGGAGGAGAGCAGGAGGAGAGCAGGAGGAGAGCGTGAGGAGAGCAGGAGGAGAGCGTGAGGAGAGCAGGAGGAGAGCAGGAGGAGAGCAGGAGGAGAGCAGGAGGAGAGCGTGAGGAGAGCAGGAGGAGAGCAGGAGGAGAGCAGGAGGAGAGCGTGAGGAGAGCAGGAGGAGAGCAGGAGGAGAGCGTGAGGAAAGCAGGAGGAGAGCGTGAGGAGAGCAGGAGGAGAGCAGGAGGAGAGCAGGAGGAGAGCAGGAGGAGAGCGTGAGGAGAGCAGGAGGAGAGCAGGAGGAAAGCAGGAGGAGAGCGTGAGGAGAGCAGGAGGAGAGCAGGAGGAGAGCAGGAGGAGAGCGTGAGGAGAGCGTGAGGACAGCAGGAGGAGAGCAGGAGGAGAGCAGGAGGAGAGTGTGAGGAGAGCAGGAGGAGACCGTGAGGAGAGCGTGAGGAGAGCAGGAGGAGAGCAGGAGGAGAGCAGGAGGAGAGCGTGAGGAGAGCAGGAGGAGAGCAGGAGGAGAGCAGGAGGAGAGCAGGAGGAGAGCGTGAGGAGAGCAGGAGGAGAGCAGGAGGAGAGCAGGAGGAGAGCAGGAGGAGAGCAGGAGGAGAGCGTGAGGAGAGCAGGAGGAGAGCGTGAGGAGAGCGTGAGGAGAGCAGGAGGAGAGCGTGAGGAGAGCAGGAGGAGAGCGTGAGGAGAGCAGGAGGAGAGCGTGAGGAGAGCAGGAGGAGAGCAGGAGGAGAGCGTGAGGAGAGCAGGAGGAGAGCAGGAGGAGAGCGTGAGGAGAGCAGGAGGAGAGCGTGAGGAGAGCAGGAGGAGAGCAGGAGGAGAGCAGTAGGAGAGCAGGAGGAGAGCAGGAGGAGAGCAGGAGGAGAGCGTGAGGAGAGCAGGAGGAGAGCGTGAGGAGAGCGTGAGGAGAGCAGGAGGAGAGCAGGAGGAGAGCAGGAGGAGAGCAGGAGGAGAGCAGTAGGAGAGCAGTAGGAGAGCAGGAGGAGAGCAGGAGGAGAGCAGGAGGAGAGCGTGAGGAGAGCGTGAGGAGAGCAGGAGGAGAGCAGGAGGAGAGCAGGAGGAGAGCAGGAGGAGAGCGTGAGGAGAGCAGGAGGAGAGCGTGAGGAGAGCAGGAGGAGAGCAGGAGGAGAGCAGTAGGAGAGCAGTAGGAGAGCAGGAGGAGAGCAGGAGGAGAGCAGGAGGAGAGCGTGAGGAGAGCGTGAGGAGAGCAGGAGGAGAGCAGGAGGAGAGCAGGAGGAGAGCAGGAGGAGAGCGTGAGGAGAGCAGGAGGAGAGCGTGAGGAGAGCAGGAGGAGAGCAGGAGGAGAGCAGGAGGAGAGCAGGAGGAGAGCGTGAGGAGAGCAGGAGGAGAGCGTGAGGAGAGCAGGAGGAGAGCAGGAGGAGAGCAGGAGGAGAGCAGGAGGAGAGCAGTAGGAGAGCAGTAGGAGAGCAGGAGGAGAGCAGGAGGAGAGCAGGAGGAGAGCGTGAGGAGAGCGTGAGGAGAGCAGGAGGAGAGCAGGAGGAGAGCAGGAGGAGAGCAGGAGGAGAGCGTGAGGAGAGCAGGAGGAGAGCGTGAGGAGAGCAGGAGGAGAGCAGGAGGAGAGCAGGAGGAGAGCGTGAGGAGAGCAGGAGGAGAGCGTGAGGAGAGCAGGAGGAGAGCAGGAGGAGAGCAGGAGGAGAGCGTGAGGAGAGCAGGAGGAGAGCGTGAGGAGAGCAGGAGGAGAGCAGGAGGAGAGCAGGAGGAGAGCGTGAGGAGAGCAGGAGGAGAGCAGGAGGAGAGCGTGAGGAGAGCAGGAGGAGAGCGTGAGGAGAGCAGGAGGAGAGCGTGAGGAGAGCAGGAGGAGAGCAGGAGGAGAGCAGGAGGAGAGCAGGAGGAGAGCGTGAGGAGAGCAGGAGGAGAGCAGGAGGAGAGCAGGAGGAGAGCAGGAGGAGAGCGTGAGGAGAGCAGGAGGAGAGCAGGAGGAGAGCAGGAGGAGAGCAGGAGGAGAGCAGGAGGAGAGCAGGTTTTTCGTCTGGGATTCACTTGCCACAGTGAAATATGATCGGCAAACACTTCTGCACATTCGGGACCACGCGGGTGACGGGTCACTCGTTTTACCTGAACTGAGGTGCACAAACTTCCTCGAGTGTCCCACTCGAGAGGCTGGTGGAGCACGGCAGGCGGGCCGCGGCGGTGGCCGCCAACAGAGCGAGGGGACTGGGCGTCTCCGGCGTTCTCTCCGCGGTGTGGAGCTGGGCACCTCGAGTCGGCGAAGGAGGTGCAGACACCGGGGAAGGCGAGGCGGTCTGCTCGTTCATAGCCGCTCCTCCAGGACCCCTTTGCCCTCCATCTACCTGGCCAACGTCCAGTCTCTGCCCAACAAGACGGACAAGCTCCTGTGTCGGGTCCAGAGCCAGCGCGAGGCCCGAGACTGTGTTCTGCCTCAGCGAGACGTGGCTCCACTCGAACGTCCCGGACTCTGCTGTTCAGCCCCCGGGATTCACCGCTCACCGCTCGGACAGAGTGAAGGAAACCACGGGCAAGGCCAGAGGCGGAGGTGTGTGCTTTTTAATTAATCAGCGCTGGTGCACGGACACTCGAGTCGTGAACCAAACATGTACTGCCAATCTGGAATGCCTGGTCTTGAGCTGCCGCCCTTTTTATCTTCCCCGTGAGTTTTCAGTGATATTTTTATGTGCTGTTTACATTCACCCACGTGCGGATTACAAAGTAGCCCTACAGGATCTGAGCGAGATCCTTCACAAACATGAGTCTCATCCTAACGCAGTCATCATTGTTGCTGGGGATTTCAATAAATGTAATTTAAAGACTGTACTCCCGAACTTTTACCAACATGTGACTCAAGCTACAAGAGGAGCACATGTTCTGGATCACTGCTACAGTAACGTGAAGGGAGCTTACAGGTCCAGTCTCAGACCTCCTTTTGGAAAGTCTGACCACTCCTCTGTTCTCCTTCTTCCTTCGTATACTCAGAGGAGCAGGGAACATAAACCAACCTCTCGCACTGTGCAGTGTTGGTCTGAGGAGGCTAGCATGAAGCTACAAGGTTGTTTTGATGCTACGGACTGGTCTGTGTTTCAGTCAGAGGACGTCAATGAATTCTGTGACGCTGTGTCTGGATACATACGCTTCTGTATTGACTGCTGTGTCCCACAGAAGGTCATTAAAGAACATTTTAGTCAAAACCCTTGGATGAACGCAGAAGTGAAACTGAAACTTCATGAGCGTGCGTTGGCGTTTCAATCTAACGATACAGTTGCTTATAAGCTATCCTGTTACTCATTGAAACGTTCTATTAAATCTGCAAAGCGCAGTTACGGGGACAGGTTAAAGAGTTATTTTGAGGAAGATGACCCTCGGCGCATGTGGAACGGTATTAAATCCATCACATCGTGGAAACCTAGCGCTGGGAAAACTGCATCTGTCGGCCAAGCTCTGCCAAACGAGCTAAACACGTTCTACTGTCGCTTTGAATCCGCTGATGCCTGTCCTACTGTATTCCCTGAGTGTTTCAATCAAGGTACCTTCACCGTGACTCAGGAGGAAGTCAGGCGTGTCTTGTCCAGGACCACAGTCCGGAAAGCCCCAGGCTCGGACGGCATCCCTCCTCGTGTCCTGAAACTGTGCTCTGAGCAACTTGCCCCTGTGCTAACAGACATTTTCAACCTGTCGCTAAGGAACTGTACTGTGCCGAACTGCTTTAAAGAGTCGACCATCATTCCAGTTCCTAAGAAAACTCCTGTGACATGCCTGAATGACTATCGTCCTGTGGCCCTCACGTCTGTTCTTATGAAAACTTTTGAGCGGCTTGTGCTGGACTTCATTAAGAGCCAGAACCCTGTGAGTGTTGACCCGCTCCAGTTTGCTACAGACAGAACAGGAGTGTGGATGTCCCTTCATTCTGAAATATTCCCAAAGGCCCTGAAAACTGCAGTCATCAGGCCCCTGCTAAAAAAGAGCAGTCTGGATGCTACGGTACTTAACAACTATCGTCCCATCTCAAATCTGCCATTTATGGGGAAAGTCCTTGAGAAAGTTGTCTACCTACAGCTTACTAGATTTCTTATAATCAACAACTCATTTGATATGTTTCAGTCCGGCTTTAGACCCCACCACAGCACTGAGACTGCTCTCGTTAAGGTTACAAACGATATCCGGCTGAACACTGACGCAGGCAAAGTCTCAATCTTATTCCTGTTAGATCTGAGTGCTGCCTTTGACACTGTCGACCATGAGATCCTCTTACAGAGACTAGAGGACTGGGTTGGCGTCGCTGGCCACCGCCCTAAGTTGGTTTAGGTCTTACCTTGAGGACAGGAAGTACTTTGTGGAGATTGGAAACTGTGTCTCAGATCATATGGCCCTGACCTGTGGAGTACCACAGGGGTCGATCCTGGGACCTCTTCTGTTCAATCTCTACATGCTGCCGTTAGGTCAGTTAATACGCAGAAACAAAGTGTCCTATCACAACTATGCAGACGACACTCAGATCTATGTCTCACTGACTGCAGGAGAACATGGACCAGTGGACTCACTCCTTCACTGTATCCAACAGATCAGTGAGTGGATGCAAAACAACTTCCTTCAGCTAAACGCAGACAAAACTTGTCTTTGGTCCCCAGAAACAAAGAGAGAGCGTCATCTGTCACCTACAGTCTCTCTCCCTAAAACCTTCAAACAAGGTCAGAAATCTAGGGGTAATACTGGACTCAGACTTAAATTTTAATAGCCACATCAAATCAGTAACATCAGCAGCTTTTTACCATCTAAAAAACATTGCCAGGATCAAAAACATAGTGTCTAAAGCAGACCTGGAGATTCTTATCCATGCATTTGTCTCCAGTAGGTTAGACTACTGCAATGGCCTGCTCACAGGTCTGTCCAAACAGGCTGTAAAACAGCTGCAGTACATTCAAAATGCAGCAGCTCCAGTCCTGACTAGAGCCAGGAAGTACGACCATATTAGTCCTGACAAGAACCAGGAAGTACGACCACATTAGTCCAGTTCTCAGGTCTCTGCACTGGCTTCCTGTGGCTCAGAGAATAGACTTTAAAACAGCTCTGCTTGTTACAAGTCTCTCCATAGCCTCGCACCAAAATATATTAGTGACATGTTAGTCCCATATGAACCAGCCCGGACTCTGAGGAGCACAGGGACTGGACTCCTGCTGGGACTCTGAGGAGCACAGGGACTGGACTCCTGCTGGGACTCTGAGGAGCACAGGGACTGGACTCCTGTTAGTGCCCAGAGTCAGAACTAAACATGGGGAGGCTGCTTTTCAGATTCATGCTGCTAAAATCTGGAACAGTCTTCCTGAAGATGTGAGACAGGCCTCCTCTCTGACAATGTTTAAAACCAGGTTAAAGACGGTTCTGTTTAACTGTGCTACAACTGAGGGATTTATTTTTATCTTTCTTTTTAATGTTCTGTGATAATTTATGATTTTAATGCTTTCTTGTTTTGTTCAGTACTTTGAAGTGCCTTGTGTATGAATTGTGCTATACAAATAAACTTGCCTTGCCTTGCCTATGGTCCCAGCTGGATTCGTCTGCATATCTGGCAACCTGAGACAGGGAGAGTGGGAGAGGCTGCAGTACCACTTCTGTCCACACGTTCACAGACTCAGTTGGATTTGTTAATGACTGATGCTCGGTTGTTTTGAGTGATTAGTCAGAGCAGATGTTGACGTGTCCTTTGTTCCTCCGCAGTCATTTAGAGTCATTTATGAATATTCTGTGTTTTCTGTTCATAGTTTGTTGTTGCTACAGATGTCACAGCAGGAAAGTGGAGTCTGAAAAACAGTTACTAATGACAACAACTTCAAACGACTTTCATTTGTAAAAGAATGAATCATTTCACCATCTGGCCCTGAGCTGCTCTGGGTTTACTTTTCCCACGGATGATACTTTTCCCACGGATGATACTTTTCCCACGGATGATACTTTTCCCATGGATGATACTTTTCCCATGGATGATACTTTTCCCATGGATGATACTTTTCCCATGGATGATACTTTTCCCATGGATGATACTTTTCCCATGGATGATACTTTTCCCACGGGTGATACTTTTCCCATGGATGATACTTTTCCCACGGATGATATTTAGGCCGGAGCCAAGGGGGTGTACCTGGGACGCTGAGTTACACCGCTGAACCCTCCGGGGCTCATCAACAACAGATCAAGAGTCTGGGTCTGAGTCCGGCCGATGGACCTGAGTCTGGCAGATTCTGGTGTGAAGTGCATTCTCTCTGACAGCTCCATTGATCTGTCAACGGGGGTCATGGGGGGGCTGTGGAGGGCCATGGTGGGCCGTGGGGGCTGTATTGTTTGTAACCTCCAGAGAAACACAGCTCTTCAGACCCGCTGCCCCCTCCCCCCTCCTTTTTTTCCAGCCCAAGACACGCCGCTGTCTGCGAGGCAGCCCAAGAATGTACACAGGTCAGAGCAACTCAAACTACGACATGTTAACAGGAAAATCACTGCTTTGGTTTGAACAAGGCTCGTTCCTCTGTAACATGTGTGTCTGTAACATGTGTGTCTGTAACATGTGTGTCTGTAACATGTGTGTCTGTAACATGTGTGTCTGTAACATGTGTGTCTGTAACATATGTGTCTGTAATATATGTGTCTGTAACATATGTGTCTGTAACATGTGTGTCTGTAACATGTGTCTGTAGCATGTGTGTCTGTAACATATGTGTCTGTAACATGTGTCTGTAGCATGTGTGTCTGTAACATATGTGTCTGTAACATGTGTGTCTGTAACATATGTCTGTAACATGTGTTTCTGTAACATGTGTGTCTGTAACATGTGTTTCTGTAACATGTGTTTGTGTAACATGTGTGTCTGTAACATATGTGTCTGTAACATGTGTGTCTGTAACATGTGTGTCTGTAATATGTGTGTCTGTAACATGTGTCTGTAACATGTGTCTGTAACATGTGTTTGTGTAACATGTGTGTCTGTAACATATGTGTCTGTAACATGTGTGTCTGTAACATGTGTGTCTGTAACATGTGTTTGTGTAACATGTGTGTCTGTAACATGTGTGTCTGTAACATATGTGTCTGTAATATATGTGTCTGTAACATATGTGTCTGTAACATGTGTGTCTGTAACATGTGTCTGTAGCATGTGTGTCTGTAACATATGTGTCTGTAACATGTGTGTCTGTAACATATGTCTGTAACATGTGTTTCTGTAACATGTGTGTCTGTAACATGTGTTTCTGTAACATGTGTTTGTGTAACATGTGTGTCTGTAACATATGTGTCTGTAACATGTGTGTCTGTAACATGTGTGTCTATAATATGTGTGTCTGTAACATGTGTCTGTAACATGTGTCTGTAACATGTGTTTCTGTAACATGTGTGTCTGTAACATGTGTGTCTGTAATATGTGTGTCTGTAACATGTGTCTGTAACATGTGTCTGTAACATGTGTGTCTGTAACATGTGTGTGTCTGTAACATGTGTGTCTGTAACATATGTGTCTGTAACATGTGTGTCTGTAACATGTGTTTGTGTAACATGTGTGTCTGTAACATATGTGTCTGTAACATATGTGTCTGTAACATGTGTGTCTGTAACATATGTGTCTGTAACATGTGTTTGTGTAACATGTGTGTCTGTAACATATGTGTCTGTAACATGGGTGTCTGTAACATATGTGTCTGTAACATATGTTTCTGTAACATGTGTGTGTCTGTAACATGTGTGTCTGTAACATGTGTGTCTGTAACATATGTGTCTGTAACATATGTTTCTGTAACATGTGTGTGTCTGTAACATATGTGTCTGTAACATGTGTGTCTGTAACATGTGTGTCTGTAACATGTGTGTCTGTAACATATGTCTGTAACATGTGTGTCTGTAACATATGTGTCTGTAACATATGTTTCTGTAACATGTGTGTGTCTGTAACATATGTGTCTGTAACATGTGTGTCTGTAACATGTGTGTCTGTAACATATGTCTGTAACATGTGTGTCTGTAACATGTGTGTCTGTAACATATGTGTCTGTAACATGTGTGTCTGTAACATATGTCTGTAACATGTGTGTCTGTAACATATGTCTGTAACATGTGTGTCTGTAACATATGTCTGTAACATGTGTGTCTGTAACATATGTCTGTAACATGTGTGTCTGTAACATGTGTGTCTGTAACATGTGTGTCTGTAACGTGTGTGTCTGTAACATATGTCTGTAACATGTGTGTCTGTAACATGTGTGTCTGTAACATAAGTCTGTAACATGTGTGTCTGTAACATGTGTGTCTGTAACATAAGTCTGTAACATGTTTTAAGCTGGATCCCTGACCGTTGGCTCCTTAAACTTCCTGATGCTGTTGAGTGATCCATCTTCACGTCGCTCTGAGGCTCAGAACAGCTGCAGTAAAGTTGGAGAACATCTTCTGCTTTAAGGACCACTAGGACCACTTTACTCACAGACCAGTCCAGGAGCGGACCACCCTGAGACTGTTCTGACTGAAACTGAGCTTTGGACTGAGGAAGAACGATCCACAGCGACATCAGAACCATGAACAGAACCTCAGTGTTTACAAAGGTTTGGAGCTTTTCTCTTTGTTTGAACCTGACTGTGCAGAGTAGAGCTGAAGTTGGCTGTATGATCCTTTTTTAAAACTGCCTCATTGGCTACTTTGTGTTAGCTAAGCAGAGGGCAACACGGACCGCACTGAGCCCACGGGCCTTCGGGAGGAAACCTTTAGTCTAAATGCTCCTAAACTCAGATTAAAAGAGGATTTTCCTGAATCTTAGGAAAGAACCGCCTTCTTTTATTCTAAACCAATGACGTCACAGCAGAATGATTGACACGGACCAACAGTCTGGACCATGGGCGGCAAAGTTAAGACCTTTATTCTCATTTATGTCACAGTCGTTCTGTTCGTTTATTTCACTGAGGCCAGAATGACAAATATTTATAATTGGTTAAATACGGATCTTGGTTCTTTCCCAAACTCTACATTTGGCTCCGTCCCTTTCCTGCTCTTCATAATAACACCTTCATTAGTTCCTGCGCTGATAACCACAGACCGTGAAATCACTTTAACACAACCTCTGAGTTTTCTCTTTTAATAAATGGCTGGTGCTTTATGTGATTTATTAAACTGTGAGGAGGGAAGAGCTCAGTGCCGGAGTCTGTCTCTGTCATGTGTTTGACAGGAAGCTGAAGGCTCTGTGCATGTTTCAGAGAGAGGGAAGTGAAGAGGCTCACAATAATACTTTAATGTTCATAAGGAGGTCTGTGTGTAGAACTACCCTGGTCTTACCACACCATGGTACTCATTTCATTTGTACTATGGTCTGGATCTCCTCCACTGACTCCGTTACCAGGTGGGAGGGGCTAACTCCTTTTGCTGAGTTTACTGTGATGTATACAACGAGCCCGAGTGAGTGAGGCATTTAGCCTTTAGGGTAAAGTGCGGATGATGGTCCCTGTGCTCCGACCAAAGGGACCATCAGCCTCGTTCATGGTCCCTGTGCTCCGACCACAGGGACCATCAGCCTCGTTCATGGTCCCTGTGCTCCGACCACAGGGACCATCAGCCTCGTTCATGGTCCCTGTGCTCCAACCACAGGGACCATCAGCCTCGTTGATGGTGCAGACAGATCCGTCAGCGTGAGTTCAAACATGAATCTGGAGCTGGAGATGAAGAGGACTTTGAAACTGGGATTATGCAACATGAGAAGTCCCCGAATGGCTGCGTTAGATGTTAATCTGGTTTTAATCCTTGTTTGTGTCTAAAAATAGTGTTGGAATGAAAACACGCAGAGATGGGAATAATAAACTGAACGTCTGCAGCGGCGGCGATTGGAAAGTATCGTCTGGTTAAGAAACTGACCTTATTCAGCTTTTTACCACTATTTAACTTTGTTCTGAACATACCTGCCGCTGGAGGAGGCAGGGGGAGCAGCTGTAAGGTTAGAGGAGCTGTAAGGTTAGAACAGCTGTAAGGTTAGAACAGCTGTAGGGTTAGAACAGCTGTAGGGTTAGAGCAGCTGTAGGGTTAGAGAAGCGGTAAGGTTAGAACAGCTGTAAGGTTAGAACAGCTGGAGGGTTAGAGCAGCTGTAAGATTAGAGCAGCTGTAGGGTTAGAGCAGCTGTGAGGTTAGAGCAGCTGTAGGGTTAGAGCAGCTGTAGGGTTAGAGGAGCTGTAAGGTTAGAGCAGCTGTAAGGTTAGAGCTGCTGTAAGGTTAGATCAGCTGTAAGGTTAGTCAGCTGTAAGGTTAGAGAAGCGGTAAGGTTAGAGCAGCTGTAGGTATAGAGCAGCTGTAAGGTTAGAGCAACTGTAAGGTTAGAGCTGCTGTAAGGTTAGATCAGCTGTAAGGTTAGTCAGCTGTAAGGTTAGAGAAGCGGTAAGGTTAGAGCAGCTGTAGGTATAGAGCAGCTGTAAGGTTAGAGCAACTGTAAGGTTAGAGCAGCGGTAAAGTTAGATCAGCTTTAAGGTTGGATCAGCTGTAAGGTTGGATCAGCTGTAAGGTTGGAACAGCTGTAAGGTTAGAGTAGCTGTAGGGTTAGAGTAGCTGTAGGGTTAGATCAGCTGTAAGGCAGGGCCTGGTTAATGCTGTGATGGGAGACCTCTGGTAACAGAAGGTGCCACAGTAAGTAAGTAAGTAATGTTTATGTATATAACGCATTTCACAGACCAAGGTACAGACCCAAAGCTCTTTCCAATGTTCAGAGTCAGATATTGTTCCAATCCTTCCACACACGGTGATGACAGAAGTGAGTCCAGAACACACTGGACCATCAGCTCCAACACCATCATTCACTCTGTCATTTACATTCACACCTATTGTGCATGTTTTTAGTGGTAGGGGAAACCGGAGCACCCGGAGGAAACCTACGCAGACACAGGGAGAACATCCAAACTACACTCAGAAAGGCCCTGTTCCGACCGGGCTTCAAACCCAGGACCTTCTTGCTGAGAAGCGAGAGTGCTAACCACTCAGCCACCGTGCCGCCCCACGGTGAGGCACTGTAAAGTGCCAAACTGTGGTTGTGTCCTTAGGCAAGACACTTCCCCCACATTAGAATGAGTCTGGTGTGTGTGTGAATGGTTGGTGGTGGTGGGAGGGGCTTCTGTCAGTGTGCCCCAGGGCAGCTGTGGCTACAGTAGTTTATTACGACTGTGTTTGAGTGATAAAATCATGTGAAGAGACTTTGAGAGCCTGAAAAGCACTTTATGAAACTGATGTATTTTTTTAATTATTAAAGACGACCACAGAACTCACACATCGTTAAAAACCTGAGAATCATAAACATTTGTCTCAATAACTC